TATGTGTGTATGTATGTGTGTATATATATATGTGTGTATGTGTGTATGTATGTGTGTATATATATATGTGTGTATGTATGTGTGTATGTATGTGTGTATATATATATGTGTGTATGTATGTGTGTATATATATGTGTGTATGTATGTGTGTATATATATATATGTGTGTATGTATGTGTGTATGTGTGTATATATATATGTGTGTATGTATGTGTGTATATATATATAAAGTACCTCCATTCCCTCCTGTCTTGGCATTTTCAAATTCCTGACCCTTCCCATGTTCTGGCTTCAGCCCTCAGAGCCCCTTGCCCCTCTGGGGACTGTGGGGACCCAGAGCAGAATGTGTGGGAGCAGCATAGTCCCTGGATCCTGGGGGCCTGCAAGGAGGGCTGGCCAGAGCTCTGGGGCCTAGGGCGAGGCACGCACAACCACACCGCAGCCCCAGGGGACAGGTGAGAACCTAACCTGTTCCACTCCCCTCCCACTGAGGCCAGATGTGGCAGAGTTTCGTGAACTAGGAAGAGGGCACTCTGTGGAAGGAGGGTGACTGTACTCCTGCTGCCCCAGGGAGGAGCAGCTGCGGAAATGGAGGGGCCGCTTGATGCTGCCTGGGGACCCCTGAGTTTCTGTGCCCCGCTGGAGGTAAGAAGAGTAGAGTTTAAGACGACACTGATCTCAGGATTTCCATATTTTGTACTGTTTGTATAAGACATAAAGCAGTAGTCAAAAGCAATACAGACAGCCTTAAAGAAGGAAGTTCTGACACGTGCTATGACGCAGAGGAAACCTGAGGACATGATGCCGAGTGAAGGAAGCCAGACGTGGACAGACGCATACTGCCTGATTCCACTGACAGGAGATACCCAGGGTGGCCAAAATCATGGAGACAAAAACTAGAAGGCTGGTTGCCAGGGGCTGGGGGAGGGGGCATGGGGAGTTATGATTTAATGGGTGCAGTTTCGGATTGGGAAGGTGAGTGCTGGAGAGCCGTGGTCCCGAGGGCTGCATGCCAGTGAACAAATGCACTTAATGCTGCTGAACTCTACACTCCAGAGGTGGAAATTCTATTTACAATGGTAAATTTTATTTTTCTTTTTACCATATATTTTTGAAAAGCCATTCAGGACCAGGTTCAGTGGCTCACGCCTGTAATCCCAGCACTCTGGGAGACTGAGGCGAACAGATCACCTGAGGTCAGGAGTTCAAGACCAGCCTAGCCAACATGGTGAAACCCCATCTCTACTAAAAATACAAAAATTAGCTGGGCATGGTGGCGGGCACCTGTTGTCCCAGCTACTTGGGAGGCTGAGGCACAAGAATTGCTTGAACCTGGGAGGTGGAGGTTGCAGTGAGCTGAGATCATGCCACTGCACTCCAGCCTGGGTGACAGAGCAAGACTGTCAAAAAAAAAAAGGAATCCAGGATTTTGTGTAGGCACCTCAGTAGTGAAAGAGCAGAACTTAC